TCGTTATTAATAGAAAAAGAGCGCACTTATTCTAGCGAGGACCTGCCGTTTCTAGATTATTTTATATTCGATACGGAACATTTCGCAATTTCGATACCTCCCGACAGGAGAGACCGTTTCCTTCAAATGACTCGAAATATGCTGAACAGGACCATTTGTAAAATTCGAATCTTAGCAGAATTTATAGGTTCGTTGATAACCATCTGTACTATATGACATGTTTTATATAGGGTAAACTAGGGTATTATGGCCATACGGATAAGATAGCCATAGGTTGTAATTTCTTTAATAATCGTTAAATAGAGCGTTTTTGTGGTCGTTCTGAAAGACTATGGCCATCTTACCCTAGTTTACCCTAATACCAAGCTTTTGGAGAGGGAAAAATTTCTAGCATCTTCAAACGGCGACTTTGATAGCCGAATGTCTTTTCCAATTCTCCTCGACAGGGTCCTCAATTGGTAGAAAGCCATTTCTTCAGACAGGACACAAAGAAATTACATTAGACCAGGTATTTTCGAGTTAGAGATTTTCTCTGATGCATCCTTGACAGGTTGGGCAGCCATATGCAAGCGGGTTCGCACCCACGGTTTTTGGTCTACAGATGAGAAACATCATATGTTCAATTACTTAAAACTAGAATTGTTAGCTGTATTTCACGCGCTAAGATGTTTTGCATAAGATGTTGGCACCTGACAGGATCTGACTATTAAGGTCCTATTAAGAGTCGATAACTCTACTGTCATACGCATCAATCGCATGAGTTCTATCAAATTTCCTACACTCTCGAAGCTTGCTCATGAAATCTGATGCTGGTGTGCAGTAAAAGACATATTCATTTACGCCTCTTACTTCCCTCGACTAAAAACATTAAAATAGAACGAATATATAGGACTCTTAGTATTAAAAAATTGTGAATGAAATAAAAAGGCAATTAAGAGTCAAAATTATAAGTGTGTGATCTAATGAACCATTTAATATTATATTATAAATTAAAATAAACTAAAAATTCACACTATAAATACGCAAGCAACCAAATTAAAATATGACGAATTAAAAGTCAAAACCATTACGTTTCGGCTGCATATTCCTCAGATGTACATACAAATATTAATTCACGCAGTAAAATTTTTTAATTAACTCAGTAAAAATTAACAAGATTATATCGATAATGGAGTTAAGGACGATTATTCACTTCAGAGAGAGCCTGTTATTGGTTTTTTGTTGGAGAAAGGAAGAGAATGGACAACAAAATAAACTGGCTTCAAGATAAACAAAAGAAACAGGAGAACTCGAACATCAAACCGATTTTAATTCCGTCTTGTAAGTCAGATATATATACACCCGAAAAAAATGTGAAACGCACAATAACTAAGTATATGTCTAGATTCTTTTTCTTTGTTTAACAATAGGATCAGTCCTTCGTTCTCTTCACATCGTGATAAGTGGTTTGTAAATCTATCCTCTGTTGATATTCCGACAGAGGTACAATGTTTTTTACAACTTGGTGAAAATTTCGCATTACCCACCAATAATAAAAAAGATTTCATTTTTGATTGTATTAAAAATATTGAACATAGCATACGCAAACTACCAATAAACAAAAAGATGGATATAACAAATCACTCGTTACCGATATTAAACAACATTATATCGATACCAATCAGGAGACACGGTAGCGTCTCCGGCCATGTTAAAAAAACTGTGAGACGCTACAAGTCTCTTATCCCGAACCATCAAGGTCCATTATTGGGAGGTGCATAACTATTAAAATATAAAAAATTTTGGATTGAACGTCATATGTCCTGAAAGGCGGCATCGCCACGAGTAATTCGAGACAAAAAAATTTTAAATCTGGCAAGCCGTTCTGGAGATAAAAGCGGTCGAAAAGCGATGATTTTAATGAAAAATTAAGAAACGTCTCCTTCTCTGTCTGTGTGTCTGTCCGTCTGTCCGTCCGAATTTAAAAATATCGTTATTTGACGGATAGTGATATGTTACTTTTTAACATCCTCTTTTACCTTTCACTCGCACCTCCACCATCATTGGCCCACCGGACCTCCTCCACTCGCCTCACCCCCTCCCCCACCACCAACCCCCACCACCCCTCTCTTCTGCTGTAATTCAATCTTTTTCGTTTTACAACTTTTTGACATCCTCTTACACCTTTCACTCGTACCTTCACCATCATCGGCCCACCGGACCTCATCCACTCGTCTCCCCCCCTCCACCCACCATCCACCTCCACCACCCCTCTCTTACGCTGTAATTCACTCTTTTTCGTTATTACAACTTTTTGACATCCTCTCTCACCTTTCACTCGCACCTCCACCATCTTCGGCGCACCGGACCTCCTTCCTCCGCCCCTTCCCCTCTCACCTTTCACTCGCACCACCACCCACCTCCGCCGCTACTCTATTTCACCATATTTTCACTTTTTTCGTTATTACAACTTTTTGACACCCTCTCTCACCTTCCACTCACTTCTTTACCATCTTCGACCCACCGGACCTCCTCCACTCGCCCTTCCCCCTCCCCACTACCCATACACTGTTTAACATCGTCTCTCACCTTTCACTCGTACCTCCACCATCTTCGACCCACCGGACCTCCTCCACTCGTCACTCCCCCTCCCCCTACCACCC